ACACATCCCAAGAAATGCCCCACGAAACGAACCACGAATCGCAACAACGAGCTCACAATTGGAGCCCGCCGCCCAACGAGAACGCAATACGAAACGGCCCGCCACACATCCCATGAAACACCCCGCGGCAACAACGAGCTGACATGATAAGAAACAACCCGCCGCGCGCCCCAAGACACCCCCGACGAAACACACTACGAATCGCACCAACGAGCTGACAGCTCGAGCCCACCGACGCAACAAAAAACTCAATGCGAAACGACCATCAACCCACAACAAGAGACACCCCACGAAACGAACAACGAATCGCAACAACGAGCTGACACTTCGCCAACACCGCCCCCGAGAATCTCGACCCATAACGACCCGCCACACACCCCAAGAACTGCCAAACGAAACGCACCACGATTCGAAACAAGGAGCCCGCTGAGCCGACATTTCGAGCCCACCACCCGAAAAAAACTAGACACAAAACAACCCGCCATGCACCCCCAGAAACACCCCACGAGACGCAACACGAATCGCAACAAAGAACTGACATCTCGAGCCCACCGCACCAAAGAAACCCGATACGCAACAAACCGGTACATGCCCGAAGAAACACCCCACGAAACGCAACACGAATCGAACCACGAGCTGACAGCTCGACATTACCACTCCAAGAATCTCTATATACAAAACGACCCGCCACACACGACAAGAAATACCCCACGAAACGCACCACGAATCGCAACAACGAGCTCACAATTGGAGCCCGCCGCCCAACGAGAACGCAATACGAAACGGCCCACCAAACATCCCATGAAACACCCCGCGGCAACAACGAGCTGACATGATAAGAAACAACCCGCCGCGCGCCCCAAGACACCCCCGACGAAACAAACCACGAATCGCACCAACGAGCTGACAGTTCGAGCCCACCACCGCAACAAAATTACTCCGACGGAGAGACCCCACATGAATATATGTTCGGCTAATCTGGAAATAACCTTCACTGTCGTCCTCGCGATTAGTGAGGCACCCTTATTGTCTTCTCTGCGTCATTCTCATTCTCGCCCTGGCGCGGGACCCTCACCCGCTCCCCGCGTTGCCCTTGCCTCGCCCTCCTGCTGTTCGTTTCGTCACCCACCTTTCGGCTGACGATGGGTTACCACCGCCAGCCCGGAGACAAGGGTTTCCCCCTGCCCCCGCTTCGACCGAGGATGGGTTACCACCCCGCACCCGGACGCAAAGGTTTCCCCCTGCGCCTGGCCGCCGTCGTCATCCTCACCTCCTGTTCTTCCTCTTCCTGCTCACCTGATGGGTCGGGCGAATCGCCCTCTGAAGAGCGCATAGGGAGGGGGCTCCCGCCTGAGACGTCCTCACAGTTCACTCAAAGACTTGGCGCCCCGCCTGATACTTCCTCCACATTCAAGTCTCGGGAGCCCCAAAGCGACGACACTTACAAGGTTGAGGATGACCCATTCAAATGAAAAACATTAACTGCGGGCCCCATAGGAAGGGGGTTCCCGCCTGAGACTTCCTCACAGTTCACACACAAACGGGGCTCCCGCCTGATATTTCCCCCCTACTCAGGCCTCAGGAGCCCAAACATGACGACAGTTACAGGTTCGAGGATGACCCGCCTGGATGTCACACACAGACGAGGCTCCCGCCTGATACTTCCCCCATATTCAGGCATCAGGAGCCTAACAGTGACGACAGTTACAAGATCGAGGACGACCCGCTCGGATTAAAAAACATACACTGCGGGCCCCATAGGGAGAGGACTCCCGCCTGAGACTTCCTCGCAATTGACTCACAGACGAGCCTCCCGCCCGATACTTCCCCCATATTCAGGCCTCACAAACCCAACAGTGACGACAGTTACATGTTCGAGGATGACCCGCTCCGAATAAAAACATGAACTGCGGGCCCCATAGGGAGAGGATTCCCGCCTGAAACGTCCTCGCAGTTCACTCACAGACGAGCCTCCCGCCTGATACTTCCCCCATATTCAAGCTAGCGAACGACGGGGTGTGTGAGTGAATGAATGACTGAATGAGTGATGATGATGATGATGATGCAGATGATGAGTGAGTGGGTGAGTGAATTGGAGTGAATGGGTGATCGAGTGATGGTCCATGTGATCAAAGTGGTTTGTGTGTGAGCGATGAATGTGTGAGTGATGACGATGATGATTGTGATGACGATGAGTGAAGGAGTGAGTAGGAGTGAATGAGTGAATGAGTGATGATGATGATACTGAGGTTGATGAAGATGTGGTGATGATGCTATCGATGGTGATGGTGACAAGTGCGTGTGAATGATGGCGGCGTGATGACTGAGTGAATGAGTGATGATGATGATGAGTAATTGAATGAGTAAGTGAGTGAGTGAGTGGGTGGGTGGGTGATGATGTAGTGTGTGTTATGGTTCCGGCGCGGGGTGTCCAGAGAAAACAAGATCCCTACGTTGGATGTGAGGAAAAAGTCGATCAGCCCACAACAATGGACACCCCACGACAAGAACCACGAATCGCAATAACGAGTTGACACTTCGCCAACACCGCCCCGACGAATCTCGATGCGGTGCTACCCGCCGCACCCCCTCAAGAACTGCCACGCGAAACCCACCACGATTCGCAACAACGAGCTGGCACTTCGAGCCCACCACCCGAAGAAACTAGATACGGAACAACCCGCCACACACACAGAAACACCCCGCGAAACGCAACATGAATCGCGACAACAAATTGAAATCCCGAGCCCACCGCACCCAAAAAAACTAAACAAAACACCACGCGACACGAATCATGAATCGCAACAACGAACTGCCAATTCGAGCCCACAACCCCGAGAATCTCTGTACAAAACGACCGGCCACACACGCCAAGAAACACCCCACCAAACGCATCGTGAATCGCACCAACGAGCTGACAGTTCGGCACCACCACCCAAAGAGATTGGATGCGAAACGACCCGCCGCACAACCCAAGGAGCACGAAACGCACCATGAATCGCAACAACGAGCTGGCAGCCCGACAACACCGCCCCAAAGAAATTCGAAACGAAACGACCCGCCACACACCCAAAGAGACACGCAACGAAACGCACCACGAATCGCAACAACGAACTGGCACTTCCACACCACCACCCCAAGAAATTCGATGCGAAACAACCCGACACATACCCCAAGAAACACCCCACGAAACGCACCACAAACTGCAACAACGAGCTGACACCACGAGACCACCGCCCCCGAATGGCCCAAACACTTGGCCAGAAGCCGCCGAACCGTCACCAAGTAGCTCCAAGAGGTACAAGGAGCCCCCAAGAGACCCCATGAGCGCCTCTAAAAGAAAAGGGAAGGTCCCAAAAAGCCGTCCGAAAGGCCCCCAAGAGATATCCAAAGCGGCCCTGAGTGCGCATCCAATGGGCATCTGACCAACAACCCAAGCACGGTGGCGGGACGGGCCGAAGCCCAATGATCCGCCAACCCCCGTTGCTTTCCCAGTGGTGCGCGGCGCGCTGGATGTTAGGTTGTTCTAGTTCGTTCCAAGCGGGGTCTATTCCGAGTCCGCCGCCCACCCAGAACACTCGCACCTCGTCGCGCCCCCGCGATCTGTTCCCCAGAGACGGCCCCAAGATGGCCTTCGAGACGGCCAAGATGGCCTCCAAGAATGCTGAGACGGCCCCAAGACAACCCAACATTACCCCAAGATGTCTCCGAGGAGGCCCAATATCAAACCAAGACGGCCCAAGATGGCCTCAAGATGTCCCAAGACGGCTCGAAAGGCCCTCAGAAGGCCTCCAAAGCGATCCAAAGCGCCTCCAGGAGGACCTCCAAGAAGGCCTGCAGAGGCCTTCATCATTGACTTGTCACCCGCTACATTTTGTCTCGCTAGCGAGCCAGCTAAGCCGGCACGTCAATACTCGGTAGAACACGGCACTGCGAACGATGCAATGAGCAGGACCGGCAGATACTGAACGGAAAATCCCCCGCGCAGCACGCGCGCGAACAAGCGGGGAAATGGGGTCGGCTTGGGGGCGACAAAAAATTGAGCCCAAAGCAACCGCATGATGATTCGACGGCGAGCCCTCATTCTGCACTGACAAATTCGTGCTATCACTTTTTATGTCACCCGCCACCTTCTTTGTCTCGCCAGCGAGCCAGCTACGACGGCAGTTCAAAGATCCATCAGCACACGTCACTGCGAACGATGCAATGAACAGGACTGGCAAATTCTGACGGGAAAATCCCCAACCCCGACCTTGGAGCTGGCCGCAGGCATTAACTTATGTAGGAGCGAGCAGGTGACAGATAGGATTACACAGAGCCACGAGATAGGACTGGGCAAGACATGCACGAAAAAACCCTCCAGGCCAATTTCCCGCCAGATGCTCGCGTTTTTGTTGGAAGCGGGACATCGACCACGCTTCGCGCGGCATCTTCATTGCGAAGGCAGCTCTCTGCAACCACCGTGAAGAAAAAAATACATTCTTCTGCCAAGGCACGCCGCAATGACAGATGCTAGCAATTACTGGTTCCGCCCCGCGGACTCTGCTACATTTCACGAGTCAGACAGAGCCACGAGATCACGGGGTTCTCGATCACCCAGCGGACGCCACCGTCGGAGGCGCGCTGCGCGACGAGGGCCGACACCCCCATCAGCCCGTTACCCAGCAGCGCCCGCCGAGCGTCTGCAGCGTTGAGCCCTGGACCCCCGTAGAGGCCCTGACCGCTGTCGCACAAGGCAGGAAGGCCCGCCCCGCCCCTGCGGGCCCTGGGCCAGCCGGCACACGGAAGTACCCATCCACCCAAGCTCGCACGCGGGATGACGGATGAGGCCGAGGAAGCATTGAAGCGTGCCCGGGCGGAGAACATCTTGCGCTGGGTCGTTCTCCGGCTCGAACGTGCACGCGGTGCACCCACGCGCGGCGAGGGCTGTCGACAGGTGCTTGGAGCCCGCAAAGACTTCGATCAAATAGCCTCTCCGCCGCGGGACCCCCGCAGGTGGTTCAACGCGGCCATGGGAGCCCCTGCAGCGATGAGGGCGCGCGCAGGCTCTGCTGACGCCGCTGCATCCCAAAGAGAGACTGCGGCCCGCCGAGCCCGTCGCACGCGGGGCCCTCGCACTGCAGCTGGTACCCGATGTACTCGACCTCCAGGACGCACCGAACCTGGAAGGCCACGAACCTCTCGCTGGGCACGGGCTGGCTCATCGCCATGCCGTGAGAAGGGGCCCCCCCCGCTTGCGCGGCCAGGACCATCGCCGCCTCGGCCGCGCACTGGCGCTGCGGGCGGCCCAGCACGACGCCCACGTCGGCGGAGAACGTCTTGGACAGCACCCCCCACACCTTTGGGGGGCCGAGGGCCACCCGTAGCGAAACAAGGGCGGGAGGAACAACCACATCCTCAGCACGCTGGCGCAGCGCCTCCGACGGCCGACGGCGCTCTGACATCATCGGGAGGGCCATCGACGCCCCCACGCAGTCGCCGCGGGCCGCCACATTGACCGCCGCCAGGCACAGCGCCAGGTCTGGCCTCGGAGAACAACCTCAGGCCGGGCGCTGCCTCGACCTGGAGCGGAGGGCCCCCCCCGTCCGAGCGAGGGCCCCGAGCTGACCCCCCGAGGCCGGCGCGGCGGCCCTCCAGCCGGAGTAGAGCACCCGCCCCATGGTCTGGCCGTCGCCGTCGGAGCACGGGGCCTCGACGCGGTTCGCCAGGGCCTGGCCCGCCCGCCCGACGGTCAGAGCGGGGCGGCACGCGCGCCAGGCGAGCAGCTGGAGGCACGGCATCCACGCGGCCAACGCCACGGCCGCCCGCGTCAGCTGCTGGGCAGCCACCCAGCCTGAGCACGGGCGTACCCCTTGGTTGCCGTTGAGCAGCGAGCCGGGCAGTCCCCGTCGTTCGGTCTGCTCGCCAGGGGCCTGACACGATGCCAGCGGCGGGCGCCGAGTGGAGCGGCCCGTCTGCCCCCCGCAGACGGGGGCCTTCGTCGGCGGCATTCCGCTCAGACGGGTGCCACCGGTGATGGATCGAACAGCCCGAGGCCAGCAAGAGCGCACATTGCCGGCGGCAACATCTGCGGAATCCGCGACTGGCCGCCTTGCCCCTCGCGAGCGCAAGTGCGAGACCCAGATCAGCACCTAGGTGAAGATAACGAGACAACAAAAAAACAATAGAACGTGAATTGTGGCGCAGTGACGACAAAACCCCTCTCCCTTCCTGCGCCGCGATTTCCCCCTGCCCGGTAAAACGAGAAGCGCAATTTAGATTCCACTCCTCGGGCCAAAGAAGCGACGACGGGGCCCCGCGTTCGCCTCGAATCGCTCCACCGGGCTTTCCAACATGATCCGGGGGACGGCCTCGGGCTCGCCAAGGACGTCGGGCGCCTAGGAGCGCAAGCCCTAGCGCGACGAGCAGGCAGACGTCGACCCCCTCTGGAGCAGACGGCATAACCTCTAGGGCAAGCATCCGACGACGCAACCGTAGAGGACCGTGGCCAATCGAGTCCGGCAACGCACGACGGTAAGAGCGCGATGAACCACCTGATCACCTGAGCGACGCTCCCCCAGAGCGTTTTCCTGGAATCATGGCTGTCGGCAAGAAAACGATAGATGTGACAAAACATCGAGTGCGTCCCCCGCCGAAGCAGACTGACATGTGCACAATAACCCAGGAACCTCTCAACTTCTCCCCTCACCATCGGGCAGCGAGACAGCCATACTCCCGCGCTGTATATTTTCTCCATATGTTCGGCGGTAGGGCGCGCCAGTCGCTGAGCACCGCATATCCGATAGCCCAACGACGCAACCTCAAGAAAGGGTCCCACGAGGTCATGACCCCTGAAACCTTTTGCCTCGAAATGCTCCTGGAGTCGGTCCCTGGCTTACCCCGCTTCTTCTGGATTCGTAGCCATGACGTCGAGGTCATCGGCGCGGGCCAGCAGCAGGGGCCGAGCGGGGGGCGAGGCGAGGAGCAGGAAGCGAGGCACGCAACACCTGGTCTGGAGAGAAGACCCCACGCGCATGCACCCGATGATAGACTGCTCGTCGGGCAACCCACACTGCCGAAGACCACCCCATCGGAACCACCATCAAGCATGGAGGAACCTCCTGGCCACTTCTGAGACACCCGAGGGCAGGCGGTGGGGCCCCCGGATCACGCGCCAGGTCCACATCGATAGCAGGGAGCGAAAAATACCAGACCAGGCTCTTCGGGATCCCCATGTAGTAGAAGTACTTTACCAGGTCCCCTTTGGGCCGCGTATATTTTTCAATGCTCCTGCACCTCAATTTCAGCCAACCTCGCACAAAAGGCAAGCCGCAAGGGTGGGCACATCGCACCTCGACAACCCAACTGCATCCCACGCACTGCGCTGAGCCCCAGACTTCTTGGGGACAAAACATAGTGCCACTAGATCTCGGGGATCGCTCGTATAGAAAATCAAATGCGACTCCGAGAGACATCTCAGAATATTGGCGCACTCCGCGGGAGACTTGTCGAGCCGCTGATAGCAACCAAACCCGCCCGATATGGCACCGTCGACGCAAGGGCCTCGTCACATTCGCAACCAAGGCTGGAGCGGAGAAGCTCGCGACCGGCTTCCTGTTGACGAGCGTGCGCGGGCCGGGCGAAGTCGCCCACGTCAGACAAAATTGCGCGCTGAGCCTCGCGTTGGGCCGCGCTCCTGGAACGAGTGGAACGGTTGAGGGAAACGATTCAGCAACACACACACACACACACACCCTCCCCCCAATTCAAAGTTGACAGGTTTTCGCAAGACCGCTCGGAGGCCCAAAATCGGAAGATCCGAAACCAACATTGCATTTGGGGGAGGGGGGGAGGTTCAAACCATATGATCTGCATGTGTTGCTTAATTGTTTCCGACACCTGAAATGAACGCAAATGAGCACCCGTACATCTCATTGAGCACGGCAATGATGCGCTTGGCCCGGCGGTCCCGATCCAAGCGACGTCTGGGGCGCTGCTGTGCGGACCGCGGCAGCTGCGGCGCGCGCGGGGCCGGCTCGTCCAGCAAGGGCAACGGGAACAGCTCCTCCTCCTCCTCCTCCTCCTCCTCCTCCTCCTCCTCCTCCTCCTCCTCCTCCTCCTCCTCCTCCTCCTCCCTCCTCCTCCTCCCTCCTCCTCCTCCTCCTCCTCCTCCCCTCCTCCTCCTCCCTCCTCCTCCTCCTCCTCCTCCTCCTCCTCCTCCTCCTCCTCCTCCTCCTCCTCCTCCTCCTCCTCCTCCTCCTCCTCTCCTCCTCCCTCCTCCTCCTCCTCCTCCTCCTCCTCCTCCTCCTCCTCCTCCTCCTCCTCCTCCTCCTCCTCCTCCTCCTCCTCCTCCTCCTCCTCCCCTCCTCCTCCTCCTCCTCCTCTCCTCTCCTCCTCCTCTCTCTCCTCTCCTCTCCTCTCCTCTCCTCTCCTCTCCTCTCCTCTCCTCTCCTCTCCTCTCCTCTCCTCTCCTCTCCTCCTTTTCCTCCTCCTCCTCCTCCATTTTTCTCCTCCTCCTCCTCCGAAAATCGTGAAGACCACCGTCAGCGAGGGCGGCTTGAAAAGAGGGCCAGCGAGCAAGCGGAGCAGACGGCCCAAGAGATCTGCTTCGCGGAGCTCCCAGCGTCATGAGCCCTGGGACGAAGGATCATCCTTCCCCCCCCCGTTGACATGATTGCTCTTGGTGGCCCCCTCCTCCTTGACATTCTTGACCTCCTCCGCGATGGCGACCTCTGCCCGCGATTGGATGGCCGTATGCTGGGCGCCTGTGAAGCTGCCATCGGTCGAGTAGGCGGGCGCGTTCGGGCACGAGCGTACTTCCTCCTTGATGAGAGGGAGGCGCCAGCGGGCATACTCCATCGACAGAGAGGTCGGAGCATGCTCCTGATCGATCGTGAGTACTGCGTCGACGACCCCGGACCTCACGCCATGCTCGCACACCGACCTATGGCTGGGCGGCGCACGATTGACCTGCACCCACTGACCCGGAACCGCTAAAACGGCCCTGCCATGGTCCTGCATGAGCTTGGTCGCCCAGAGAGTGTGGCGAGGGCCGCGGACGGGACGCCCCCCACGAGGCTGACCTACAAACTGTCGGCCTCCATGTCCTCAACACAACATCGGCGATCACCCTGCTAGTCGAAACGGACGACGCACGTGCGGCTGATGCCTTGCCACAGCAACGTCGCCGCCTGGTCGATCATCAGGCCCTCGGCGAAGCCGCCCTGGGCAGACATGACGGTGATCCTGTCGCCCAGCTGCGCGGCCCCCGCCAGGAGCACGGCACACCCAGGTCGCTCACCTGGCACCTCGCCCGCACGGCAACGTTGAACCAGATCAGGGCAACGGCAGCTGCTAGCACCAGCGCGCCGAGGCCGGTGACAGCCCCCGCAAAAGGCGGGGCAGCGATCCTCCCAGGTGGAACTCCAGGAGCTGCGCCGACACCGACGCCGCCCAACGACGGCACAGTGGGAGGTAGCCCGACTGGGTCAGCCCCTTCCTCGGCAAACTGATCGGCGCGAGCATGATCAGGCACACCGCGAGAACCGCATCTGGCCCCCCCCGGCTGTCTCTGCTGGAGCCGTACCCCGCGTGTCCATGTATCGCCCCTCCGACACGTAAGCACATATCCTCGTCGGCTTCGCAGAAGAATCGAAATCGGGAGTGATGAGCACACGGACGGCGAGAAGTATAGCAGAGAAAATGGCGACTGGTTGTTCGTGCCATACTTCTGGCCCCGGGACATGGTAGCGAAACAGAGTAAGGAGTCCAGGCGCCAATACCACAGCCATGATCACCCAGCGAGAAGCACGGCGGCTCCTCAAATCGGACATCTGGGCATGAATTGCTTCACCAAACGAGGCGGTCAGCGTGGCGATGCGGACGACGACGGGCTCACCAATGCACACGCCCAGCATGAGCAGGAAACCAGGTTGCAGGAAGACCCAGAGCGGGGAAGATGTCCCTCCGTATGCAGAGACCAATTCGGAGCTCGAGGGCAGCCCCGAACACGTCTGAGAGACTGCACGGTAGACACACAGGATAGGCTGCCCGATGGCCGGGACGGTGGATATCCCTCGGACCGCTTCAGAGGGAACGCGGGACGAAAGACTTATGACAAAAACTTGAGCCCAAAGTAACAGTATGATCACTGATGCGACGGAAGCCCTCCTTCTGCACTTACCATTCAGCACTTGTCATGTCTTTGGTGTTTGAAGGATTGTGGCATTTGCTTCTTTCCGGCCTTCCGACGGCCCAAGGCGGCCCAAAACGGCCCAAGAGGCCCCTAAGATAGCCCCCAGAGCGCCCAAGAGGCCAGCAAGATGGCCCCATGACAACCCAAGAGGCCCTCAAGATGGCCCCAACAGAGCCCAAGACGGTCCAAGGGGCCTTCAAGACGCCCAAGATGGCCTCCAAGACGGCCTGAAGCGCCACAAGAAGGCCAAATGACGGCACAGAGGGGCCCCCAAGATGGCTTCCGACGGCGTTAGACGTGCCAAAAAAGCCCCAAGAAGCCCCCAGAGGCCCCAAGAGGTCCAATGAGGCCCCAAGAGGCCTCCAATGAGGCCCCAGGAGGCCCCAAGGTACCCTAAGAGGCTCCCAAGAGGCCTTACAGATCCTTCTCTTCCTCCTCCTCCTCCTCCTCCTCCTCCTCCTCCTCCTCCTCCTCCTCCGCCTCCTCCTCCTCCGAAAACCGAGCTCCTCATCGAGTCGCATCGCCCATGCATCGGCAATGCGGCGCGATCCTCCGACCCTGTCTGCTCAGACCCCACCAGGAAGCAGGACGGCCGACCAGCATGGCTGGACCACGACGACCCCGCGGCCCCAGCAGCGGCCGTCCACGCACGCCTCGCGCGGCCTGCTGGAGAGGCCGGCGCGCTCGGCCCTTTTCGCGGAGCGCCGCACGCGTGCCCTGCGAGGGGAGAGCTCAGAGGCGATTATGGGTGCACCCAGCGTTTGTATGAGCCTGGGCTTTCTCCTTCTTTCGCGAGATTGCCGCCGCAGAGGGGCAGGGGGGAGCTGGCTCAGGGGGGGGGGGATACATCGCCGATAGATCGGCGGTAGGCCCCCGGTAGCAAAACCGAGCGCTGTGGGGCCTATCAGGCCCCCTTCGGCGATGCATGGGCGACTAGGAGTCGATGCATGCTCCCCTGAGCCTATCCCTGCCCACGAGTGCCCCCGACTGCCGCCTCAGCCATCCGTGCCTCACGGGTCACTCCCAGCCGGCTGGAAGAGGCTACCCGTGGGTATCCTGTAGAGCGCCGGTGTATCCGCACCCTCGGCCTGCAAGTCCAGACTCTGGACGTGGGCAAGCCCTGCGTAAACGTAGCAAGGGAGCGCTACGCGCTGCAAATTTATGCGTAGGGTACAACTGTGTGTGTGTGCACACATATGTGAAACACCGAATATGGAGCATGCGTGTATGTGTAAATGTCTGGACTCTGCTCTCGCCGCCTGACCGTTGCCTCGCGGCCGCAATCAAAAAAAAAAAATGTGTAAATGTGTCGCCACCTCCCCCCCTCCCGGTCTGCCTGTCGGCCCGCGCGTCGGTCCGGTCCTGTCTCCTGCCCCTCTCCTGCCCCTCTCCTTGCCCTCCTGGCGTTTGATTTTGGATCCGCGCGTTCGTGCGTTTGGCCCTCCTTGCCCCTGTCTTTGTCGCTGGCATACTGCATCGAGGGTGGCGGTCGGCATCCCTGGTGCTCTCGCTCGCTGGGCCCTACACCGCGACGCCGCGCGCAGGGGTCGCCGAGGGAAAGTGCGCCCGCCACCAGTCTGTAGGCATCGAGTGGATGTTTTTCACGGCGGCTGATCCCCCAGGAAACATCATCATCTTGAGGAGCTCGTGCATCCACGCACGGCCCTGCAGCCAGCACTCCCTGCCAGGGTATGCGTCTAGACGTGCAGACCTGAACGAAAGATGCGCGGTGGCCTGAGCCTGGCGGCGGGCATGGCGAGCGAGTGAATGCACCAGTACATGAGGGTGAAGGCAGCAGGCGGCGCCAGGAGGCGCGAGCACAGGGGCGCAGGCTGGCGCCAGCATCTCTTGTCCCACGGCATCTCGAACTCCCAAGTCCCCCCCGAATTCTGTCATTGCGCTATGCTCCTACGCTGGGGGGGCATCGGATAAGGAACCGTTGGAGAAGGAAGCAAGGGTCTGGAAGCGGGCGGGACTCCGAGTGAGGCCTGGCCATGGGCACCACCGCCGCCCTCATCAGATAAGGAACCCTCCAGGGGTCTGAAGCCTCCTGAGCACATTCCTGAACGAGCGCCCCCCTCCCCACCATACTTTTTCGAGGTGCCAGGGGCCCCAACCCACGGTCGGCGGCGAGCCTGGGGGGGAGTGCGAGAAGGGCCGAGCCTTCTCGGAAGGCTCGGCAGGCCTCTGGCCTTCTGGGAAACTTCCTGAGCCTCGCCCCAAGACGCCCCAACAACAGAAAGGCTTCTCGGAAGGCGCGAGGCTTCTGGGAAGCCCCGCCGCCTCCTGAGAGAGCCTTCTCCTTCTCACTTCCCCCCTCGCCCGCCGCCAACACTTTTTTTGATCCGCGGGTCGAGAGCGAGTCTTTTCCTGTCGAAGCCAAGCGGGCCGCGCACAGTTTTAATTGACAGAGGGGGGAAGGCAGAAGGAGGGGCCTCACGTCAAGGCCAAGAGAGGGCAAAGCCCCGGAATCAGGCGGTGCCGAAGGCGATGTGCATGCAAAGCCCGCCGCCAACACGGACCTCCACGGCGCTTCCGGGCGCCCCCGAGGACCGCCGCGCGGCATGTTTGTCCCAGGGGGCCTCGGGGGCGCGGCTCGGGACGCGCGGGCCCCCCGCGCGCCCCGGGGGTGGCACCCCAGGGCCAGCCCTGCAGCCCAGGCCTCTGGGACGGGCCCGAGAGGGCCAGCATCGTGCAGATCCCGAAGGCTGCCAGGCGCCGCCAGAATTCGCACCTCGCGAGCCGCACTCTACGGTCAGGAGCTAGTGGATGACTACCTACCAAACCACCCCAACCCAACCCGAAGACCTGAATTTGACCCGAATTTCGGGTTGGGGGGGGTACGGATACCATGTGTTTTTTCAACGTTCCCCGACCCCCCCCCACTGGAAATCGAGGATAAATTTGGGCCTTCGGGTTGGGTTGGGGTGGTTTGGTGGGTGGTGAGTGGATGGCGTGCCGCGGCGACGGCCCCGGCGGCATGCTGGGCCCTGCGAGCCGATCGCGTGCTGCTCCGCTCCGCGGCGCAGGAGGCTCGGGGGAAGCCCGGGGCGTTGACGCCCTGGGAGTGGGGGCGTGGACGGCGTGCCGCTCCGCAGCGCGGCGGGCCAGGAACGGGCGGCGGAGCGACACGCGAGGCCAGCCTTCCTGGTCGTACCAGCCGCGGCGCCACCGGCAGGAAGCCGCCGAGGAGGGGGCGAAGAGCGCCGCATATGGCCACGGCGCGCCTCCCCGCCACGGAGCGGCTCCCCGATGCAGAGCGGAGGAGCGGCCCTGCCGACCAGAGCCCCGGCCGAGCCCCGGGAGGTTCTGAATTCAGCGTCTCGGCGGCGCTCCACTGGCCGGACCGGTCGCACACGTCAGCGGGCTGCTTGGGCTCTGCTCCTCGGCCGCCGAGTGCGCAGCCGCACGCGGGCCGTCGGGCTCTGGGCCGCCGGGCGCACAATACTTGCAGCAGTCCATAGCAGGCCGCTGCATTCTCGGCCACCCAGTACACATGGTACTGATGATGATGACGACGATGGTGATGATGATGTGCATGATGCTGATGATAGGGATGATGATGATGATGATGATGATGATGATGATGATGATGATGATGATGATGATGATGATGATGATGATGATGATGATGATGATGATGATGATGGTGATGATGATGATGATGGTGGTGGTGGTGGTGATGATGTGCATGATGTTGATGATGGAAATAATGATGATGCTGATAATACTGATAATACTGCTTGTGGCGGTGGTAATAGTAATGGTAACTGCCGTGGTGGTGGTGGCGATTGGGGTGGTGGTAATGATGATGGGGGTGATGGTGATGATGAGGATGGTGATGATGATAATGATGATGATAAGGATGATAATGATGATGAGGAGGAAGAGGAGGATGAGGATGGTAATGGTGATGGTGATGGGGATGCTGATGCTGATGATGTTGGGTATGATGGTTATGAAGGTGATGAGGAAGTGAAGGAAAAAGAGGAGGAGGAGGAGGAGGAAGTGGTGAGGGGAAGGTGGAGAGGGGGAGAGATGGAGAGAGTGGACGGAGAGGGAAGACGAGGACGAGGAGCAGGGCAGCAGCAAGGCACGAGGAGCCAGGAGAGAGAGGAGAGGAGGGGCACCCCGCGCCCGGCCGCGCGCGGGGTTGGCTTCCCACCCTCGCCTCCAGATTGTTGATCTCGTCGGGGCAAATACTCGTGCCTCCCACCCACGTCTGCCCGGGCGGGCCGCGCGGGCGAGCCGGGCGGACCCTCACGAGCGGGTCCGCCCATCCCGCTCGTCGGGTGCCGCTCGTCCGACACGACCCGCCCGCCCGAGGGGTGGTCCTGCTGGACGGGGCCCCGCACTTGTAGAGCCCCGCCCGCCCGAAGACCGAGCCCAAGCCCGAGCCCGAGCACGAGCCCGAGCCCGAGCCCGAGCCCGAGCCCGAGCCCGAGCCCGAGCCCGAGCCCGAGCCCGAGACCGAGCCCGAGCACGGGCAGGCGGGACTCCAAGTGCGGGGTCCCATCCACCAGGACCACTCGGGCGGGAGGGTCGGGTCGGGCGGGCCGACCCTGACGGGCGGGTCGGGTCGGGCCGGGCTCGCCCTCAAACCGCAAGATGCCTATCGAGCCGCTTCGCGCAGATCGAGACGATCGGAATGGCTTCGGGGGTTGCCACAGGTGTCCCTGGCCGAGGGGATCCCCAGGTTTTCGCCCCGCCTTGGAGCCCTCTGGGGCACTCTGGGCCTCGTGAGGGTCATTCTGAAGGCCATTTGGGACTCCTGGGAAATCCACGGGGCCCAGACATGCCAGCTACGGCCTGGGTCCTTCGAAATATTGGAAAAAGAGGAGGGGGGGAGGAAAATTATGAGGAGGAGAAGAAGGAGGAACGGTAAGAGGAGGAAGAGGGGGAGGAGAAGGAGGAGGATGAGGAGGAGGAGGGGAGATGGAATGGAATAGCCCCCTTCGCAATGCGGAAGTATCTATAGCACTGCCTTCCCTCTGACCACCACGGACACCACGACGATAGGCCGAGCACGACGATGACCTCAGAGACACTCCGCTGCAAGACAAATGACTGTCCACCATATTGCGAAAGCAACAACACCAAGGAAAGTGAGATGCACCACGCCTGTGAAGCCCACGACAAAGCTCATGTTCCTCCAGCCGAGAAAGCCCGATAGCAGAGCGAGAAACACAAATTATGCATGTAGCGCCACCCACTGCACAACAAACTTGAATAACGCCGACGATGTGATGCAGGTAGGCGGGGTGAGAAAGTGCCAGCACGAAAACTCCACAGCTTGATCGGCCAGACAAGAACATGCGGCCTACTGCTGTTTACAAGTGTAAGGCTTGGACGGCAAAGTCGGACAAGATAAAGGTGTCTGGACCCCCTGTTCCATCACTGCGTCGAGGCCCGCCAACGCATCTCCTGAGAGCTCGACTGCACTCCTCCCACCCATCCGCACGGAAAACTACGATGGCGTAGAAACTGTCCTCTGAGCGAGGATTGCGCCATCAGCAACCAGAACCGCTCGTTGCTTTGCCCAGGCGCCGCCATGGGTCGTAGCCACTGCAGGACGTGCATCCATCTTTTCCGCCCCTCCGCCTCAGCCGACGCAGTGGCTGCGCTGCCGCTTGCAGGGCGGCCCCCGCTGCTCCGAGACCGAAAGCCACGCTGTGGCTGCGGCGGCCTGCGAAGCTCCAGCTGCACCCGCCGCGGTCGCCGTGGCCAGGAGCGGGCCAGTCAATGCCAAGGCCGTGCCCTCGTGGCCCTCCCCATCTCCCCTGGCCGCCACCGCGACCACAGGCGCTCTGCCAGCAGCACCACATGAAACTCCACGAGCACGTGGAGGCTGCTGGGCTGCACCAACTGCGGGAACTTCGGCCCCATCCCCATGAGGCGCGCAACCGCCGCCCGCGCCGCGAGCCTCTCGATCTCCTGTGGCGGCGCGAAGGGCGCGGGCCAGGGCAGCCCCCGGCAGGGTCAGGCGGCAGCCCCTGTGGCCCATGGCATGGAACCCGCGCATGCGCGGCACGAAACTGCGCCCGAGCTGCCTGCGCCCTCCGCTCCGCAGCCAGCCGAGCGCCGGGGGCGGCCAGAGGTGCGCCAGGGCGGCTCTGTGCCGCGCGCGGGAGAGCGAAGGCGCGGGAGACGGAGGGCAGCGGCGCGGGCCGCCTGGCGCGGGCTGGCGAACCCGCGAAGGCTCGGTCCGAGCTGGCGCCGAGGAGGAGAGAGGGGAGGAGGAGGAGGAGGAGGAGGAGGAGGAGGAGGAGGAGGAGGAGGAGGAGGAGGAGGAGGAGGAGGAGGAGGAGGGGGAGGAGGAGGAGGAGGAGGAGGAGGAGGAGGAGGAGGAGGAGGAGGAGGAAGAGGAGGAGCAATAGCAATAGCAATAACCCTGGGGCGCCTCACGATCCGTCGAACTCGAAAGCCGAGGGCGCCTAGGTGCTGGCGACTGCCAGGCCTTGCAACACGCCTGCGTGCGGGCCAGCGCCGCGAGTGCGGGCTGGCACAGTCCGACGGCGTGCCCTTCGGCGCGCAGCCTGCGGCTGCCGCCTTTGGCACCACCCTCAGGGAGGAAACGACTTGCCTGAGAGAGGGCACCCAACCGACCCGAGAAGGAGCCAAGGCCCCTCGAGGAGCAGAACAAGAGCCAAGGGGCCCCACACGGCATCCCCTAGCTCAGGCCCTGCCTCTCGAAGCGCCCCTACCCCTTCCCTTCCCCGCTCCCCCACCACGGCGGCTAGAGGGGCGCGGAAGCGCAACAGCAGGCCCCACTTCTGGGGCATTCTGAAAAGTGACTGGGGTGGGAGTCGAAGAGGAAGGAGGCTCAAGACCAGGAGGAGGAGGAATGAAGTTGGGAGAAATCACCACAGATTCAGCGACCGACTGACCGAGCACAAGCCGTGCAGCGGCCTCACTCAAATGACCAGCTCGAAGGTGTGCCATCACACGCTCACTGCCAGCCCAACTGAATGCATTAGATCCTTGCCCAGGTACTGTGTGAGAGGCAGGCGCCACTACTTGACGCTGTCCAAGAGCCTCTGCGCTTCGCGTACGAGTACTCCTCTCGGCGCGCCTCCAATTGTTTTGTGACCCCCCTGGGCGGCCAGCGCGGTCCTGATGGCAATGGTGATCGGCTTCGCCAGGTCGTGCTCGTGGGAGATGAGGAACTGCACCTCCACTAGCTCCTCGCCGTCCTTGTTATTGCCTGTCAGGCGCTTCGCCCTGCAGAACCTGATCAGATCCGACATCTCCTCGGGCTCCTTGAGCTTCGAAATCGTCCCCTCGAAGTACTTCAGTGCGGGAACTCGAGCTGCGGCCAACTCCACGTCCTCCGCTTCCTTCTCCGCCGCGCCCTGGATCATCGCAGCGAACACACGCAAGAAGGGGGCCGCCATCTTCGGTTTGACGTAGTCTTTGTTGCCATTATTGTGTTCCTGCTTCTCCTTCTCGCGCGCTTCCTGGGCCTCGGCGTTGAAGGCCTGGTTCTCCTCGAGCATCAGTTCTACCATGTGCGAGGTGAGCGGCACCAGCCAGGTGTCGTAGACGGCACCGATGAGCATTATGAGCTCCGCCTCGTCGCTGAGCACCAGCTTGGCCAGCACCACCACCAACTCGTCGATCGTCTGCTTCTTGGCGGCCGCTCCTTGCGGCCTGGCGCCACCGGCTCTTGGGCCCTTGCCTGCTGCCTTGGCCGCCTTCAGGCTGGGCTCCGCATCGCCTATCTTGGCCATCCAGCCTGGGCGCGCCAGCGTCGCCATCCTCGTCTATGTAGCAGTGACGGCATCGGTCGTAGATACGAAGAGCTCGAGGAAAATGGATACGGACATGCATATGGTAATTCTCCAGATCTGAGGCGTGATAATCACACAATAAACATCTTAGATCACCCACTTCATGTAATGGTTCCTGCGTTCGGCCTCCCCCAGAATAACAGCATCCCCTATTCATAGCACCTACCAGATGTCGACTAGCAGTGGTAAGACTGGAAAAAATCGCCATGCAGTTCGGGCACTGGTTGGTTTTACAGAGTACATGTCCCAAGGAGCGATAGTTATGATGAAAACGGAGATGGTTCAGGGCAGCCTTTTTATCAGGAAAAACCTCTTCCCCAGATATCCCATTTACGACACAGAAACCACATACCCACTTAAGCCCGCCCTCCTGCTCCGTGACAACACCTCCCACAGCAACCGAAGGAACAGATACAAACTCAGGTGGAGGAATCGCGACGGTGTGCACACGACGACGCAGGACGGTAAAATCTAGCTTGCAGAAAGCGTTTCCGAGCTCCTTACCCCACCACAGCGCCAGGAACGATCCCTGAAGACGCGCGTGCAAGTCTTCGCCGTCCTCCATCTCAGAGATAGACTCAACGTCTGAGTAAAAAAAGCCTCGCCCAAGGATTCGCATAAGCCGTGAGCCGCCCCATGTAGTCGAACTGCTTACGTTCGTCAACTGGAAGCTCGGCAAAAAGAGCAGTGAGAATTTGCGCGTGTCGCTTAGGAAACCGAATGAACTGCACCAGCCAATTTAAACGTCTGACCCGTAACCCCAAGAATGTCTAAGCACATTTTCGTTTGTCATAGTTCTGATATGGTCAGGTCCTTCTCGGCTAGCCTCCCTGCATGGCTACCCTACAGTACTTGAAAGTCGAATCGATACGCTTACACTGACCCTCGGTCACCAGGAAGGCCTCCAAGTTCTGAATGCCAGCATTCTGGATCCCCAAGAGCACCGATCTTCGAAGTCGAAACGCAACTCCAGGAGTCGACCAAAACTTCCCAAGAGCATGAAAAGAACTCTGCAGAGCCCCCAAACGCTTCGAGACTTCCACAGAAATAGATCCCAGACAATGAATTTGACCTCCTAGCACCCTCATAGACGGAGTAGCCCCACCGGCGAACAATGTTTGAGCGAAGAGAACGATTGGCAGCAGCAGAGCCCAAGCCCACGAGAGAGACGATGTTGGTTTGCTTAGATTGGCGCTGCCTCCACCCTCCCCGAGCAAGGGCCCCGTCCAGCAACATGTTAGAGTGATCGTTAGCAGCACATAGTTCAGAAAGACCCGCATCTATCAAGGAAGCCTCTGGACCTCCAGCCACATGTAGTTTGGTAAGGTCGTCCGCGTACTTGCTCAAGCCTAAGTTGACCTCGCCAATGCCGCCAATCGGGCACTCTACATACAGTAGCCCCTCAGTTTCAAGGGCCTC